TCCTTCCCCTGCTCACTCTCCTGAGTGGCCTTTACTTTCTCTTTGTTAAATAAGCTCTTTGCTACCTTACTATCACTGTGTTCACTGCTCCTGGTTTTATGTCTATACTGTCACAGAACAAGAACCCACCATGCTCATGCATTAGTAGTTAAGAAATGTTGACTTAAATTAGGAATCAGTTTTGAAATGTTTATGAAAGTGGTGTAAACATCCTTCAAATGCAAGAGTTGATTTTTTTAAACTTTTGAAAATGCTTACCTGAAAATAGTTTGTCTAAATATCTCATCATCACTCCATTATTTTATTTTTAAATAATTGATTGAACCCTTGGGATATTGCATCCTTGAGAGTTGTGTCAGGTCAACCTTCCACACTGGACAATGCACTTGGAGGTCTCAGCACTTTGAACTCTGTCCTTGAAGCTGGGCGCTGGTGGCTCACACCTATCATCCTAGCTACTCAGGAGGCTGAGATCTGAGAATCGAAGTTCAAAGCCAGCTGGGGCAGGAAAGTCCATGTGTAGCTGTGGCTCAAATGGTAGAGCATAAACCTTGAGCAAAAATATTAAGCCCAGTGCCCAGGCCCTGAGTTCAAGCTCTAGGACCACCCTTCTCCTACTCCCCTCCCAAATTGTCCTCTCTCTCCCTCCTTTTCTTTCTCCCTCTCTCCAGAATTGGGAAAGAATTTGTGTTAAGCAAGCACCTCTCTCTCTGAACTATACTCCAGACCCTAATGCTCTATACTAAGTGTAAAAACAGCCAAATCTAACTAAATTATTCACTAGTGCATGGAGTGAAGAATATTTTCAGTCAGTAATTGAGAATGTATTAGAGACTTCTCTGAATCATTATGTTCCATTTTGCAGAAGGTGTTTTAATTGTGAGAGACAGTCTGGCCACAGTGGTTAAGAAAGTTCCTTTTTCTGCAAGTTCACACAAAGGCTCCCTGCTTAGAAGCACCTTATTATTTGTTTATGGAAAGAGAGCACTGAGAGTGAGTAGCTGGCTCCCTCCTTTCAATGTAAAATTGACTTAAAACCAGCCCCCATGCTAGTTGTCATTACAAGAACAAATCCTCAGGCCTTTTGGGTATGAGGAAGAGGATAAGATGAACACCTTCAAATTGATATTTAAGGCAGGAGATCACTTTAGAGAAAATTAATCTCAGCAAGGGGGCCTTAAAGAGAGCTAAAAGCTTGGAAAACAGTGACAAACTTGTAACTCTTGAAAGGGAAACTTATTCCAACTGAAGTGACTTCTTTATGTTACTTTAAAAAATGTCTATGGGTTACATCTATTTGGTTTCAGGAGGTAAGAGGATACGGCATTTTAGGGCTTCTGAGAATATCATCTGGGACGCCCCTCATTACTTGTTTTGCTCTCCTTGTTTCACTGACACCAGAGGGGGAAAAATTCTGAGTTTTCCCAAAATAGTAGTCAAAGTCTTTCACAAATTTTTGATTTGGCATAATTCCTTGAACCCTTTTAGTATAATACTCTTTAGGGAAAGGGATGCATCTTTTTCCAATCAATGGATGTATCCAGGGAGTTATTCTAGGAATCTCCAATGCCCCAGACATATTGTAGGTCTGAGGAAGTATCAAGCTGACTAGAAAGGAGAGAAACAAGACAGAGACCCCAAAAGACCAGATTTTATTCATCTCTGAGGAGGGGTGCCAAGTAACCACCACGGAGAAGAGTTGGAGATCCAAGGGGTGCAGAAAGTGGGAAGTCCAGGGCTTAAGTACAAGTCAAACAAGGAAGTCAACTCAGGCACTTGTCACAAATTTCCACTGGGGACACAAGAAGTTTTCCTGAAAATTGCTCCAAGTCAGGGACTTCAAGGATGGTCCTGTGGGAGTGGGTCACGTGGACCGTGAAGAAGATTAGGTGATGAGAACAATGCGGATTGCCATCACTAGGATTTAATTCTATGCTCCCTTCTAACACTGCTTTAAAAAGTTTGGGTGCAGAATGGAAACTGCACTGAACAATTAGAGGGATGTATTAGAAATTATTATAAATGTCACTTACCCACTAAGTAAGCATCTGTAACTTTGGGGCAATGAGAGGCAGAGGAAAGGAGACTTTTTTTCGATCAATGTATGTATTTTCTCTCTTAAAAAAAATTGGTTGTGGAGCTTGAACTCTGGGCCTGGGCATTGTCCCTGAGCTCTTCGGCTCAAGGAGACCACTCTCCACTTGAGCCACTGTGCCACTTCCAGTTTTCTGGGGGTTAATTGGAGATAAGAGTCTCATGGACTTTCATATCTTGGCTGGCTTTGTACCAAAATCCTCAGCCCTCAGCCTCTTGAATAGCTAGGTAGCATTAGCCACCAGCACCTGGCTTTATATTTTCTCTTTATCAAACACCACTGGAATAAAGTTTACAGAACAAACTGCTACATATCATTTCCATTTTTTAGCTGATGCAAATTTTACAGGAAGCTACTTCCACAAATTAGACACACTGATATACATATTGATATAAAGGTTCATTTAAAACTGACTCACCTGTGGGCTGGGAAGGTGGCTCAGTGGTAGAGTGCTTGCCTTGCATGCATGAGGTTCTGAGTTGGATTCCTCAGTACCACATTAGCAGAAAAAGCCGGAAGTGGTGCTGTGGCTCAAGTGGTAAAGCACTAGCCTTGAGCTGAAGATTTGAGGGACAGCACCCAGGCCCAGAGTTCAGTTCCCGTGACCTGCAAAAAACAAAGCCAAACAAACAAACAAAAAAAACCTGACTCACCTGAAGTCTTAAAGCTCATCATGATAGTTTTTCTAAATAACTAAGTAGTTAAGAAGTGAAAGAATGGTCTCAGTGCTCAGGCAGTCTCCTTTATAATGAAGCAATTGGAAACAATAAACCCATGTAGGATACACCATGTGTGAGGATAGTACTCTAAATCTGAATTTAGGAAATACTCTTTCTCACAGATTAGCTGGGCCAAAATAGTTACTTAGGATTCTTTTAATATTTGAAAACCTGATGAGGGCTGCCTGAGACTGCAGTTTGGTGGTATGGGGCTTACTTAGCTCTATTACCAAGGGCCATACACCCCTTATCCCAAAAAAGATGAAGGGGGTCTTGGATTCTATAACCTGGCAGCCATATAGTCTTGACACAGAAAAGGCTTGCTGAAGTTCTTTGAAAGTACAATTTCAAATGCAGTAGACTTGGAGTTTTATCCTCAGGCAAAGAGTTACTAACATCAACACTTCCTGTTGATAAGCAGCGTTTCCTCAAAGAGAACTAATCAGTGCTGCCTTAATGTTTTCTGTTTTAAAGGGTTTAAAATCACTGACTGTATAAACCAATTTTCATAAAAACGTGGTTCATCCTTTGGGGGAGACCCTTGTCAAAGCTTTCCCCAGTGAGTGTAGGATACATTCAAACCAGAAGTTTCTGCAGCCCACTTCAAGCAGCATGCTGCTAGAGAAACTAGACATGCAGTCTGCATATTATCTGGTGCTTTCACTACTGCCTAGCTTTAGAATTTTGATATATGGTTTCTCCCTATTTTCCAGATCACATTTATCAGAGCAATATTTGCCTTAGCCTCCCTGAGGAGCAGATAGAGTTCTTGAGTACCACCTTGACTTCTTTGTTTCCTTTCCTTCTCTTTTTCTCTTTGATTATGGAGCCTATTCTGTCAATCTCAAAAGCAAAGACAGAAAAGCACTGTTTGTTCACCTTCTTAGAACTAACCTTCTTTGTCTCCTCCTAGATAAAAACTCCAAGAGTTCTTCACACAGAAAGTCCTTTATTTTGTGCTACTTTCAGGATGGATTCATTTTTCTCCTAACAATACTCAGGCCATATTTTGAATTTTCCTTCAAAATACAGTTCTTGGAAGAATGCAAAATTAATTTACTCATGATAGACATTTCCTACAAAATCACACTACTGACTAAATATAATTAGACAGGAAAGATAAAATAGAATGAGCACTGGAAATTGAGAGACTTGGGATAACTACAGGGTTTTACAACTTGTTAGACATTTGTTCTTGACCTGTTTGGCCCCAAATGAAATTCATTTCTTGCATGCCCATACAAATATAATTTATTAACATCAATTAATAAGAATTAAATAATAGATTAATATAATTAGCAAATTAACATACTGATATATAAAATAGTAAGGTGATATTTATAAACATTTTCTGTTGTATATATACACATTCACATATATAGTAAATGTATGTATAAATGCATGGAGTAACCTAAAAGATAAGATCATAAGCCAGTAATCCTAGCTACTCAGAAGTTGAGATCTGAGGAATTCAGTTCAAAGTCAGCCAGAGTTTCAAAGTCCTGAGGACTTCATCTTCAATTTACCAGCAAAAAGAAAAGCTAGACTGGAGATTTGACTCAACTGATAGAGTGCAGAGCTTGCTAGTTGCACAAAAATATACAATTATAATGTGTACATATATGGATTTAAAAAACCATTTTAGTTTTGTATTTGCCTAGGGTAAATGAGTTCTAGACATCTGTTTCCATATCTCAGATGAATTAGTGTGGTGGTGACACTGTTTAAATAACACAATGGAATACCTGACATGTTATACTTTTGAATGATACAGCATCTTAGAATTTAAATACGTATTCACACACTTATACGTGTGTATAAATGTGTGTGTTTATATATGTACATATCTTAATATTCTGGTTATCTGGATTTGAATCAGACATGGAGACATTAAAGTCTTTTGGAGGGATAGTCATTTGTATAGAAGCTTGGGATTTCCTATGTTCACTTGCTCTCTGGAGAGTTTAAATTCTGTAGATGAGTGGCTAGTGCTGTTTGATCTTGGAGGTCTCTTCTGAGTGTTATCTTGCTAACAAAGGCCCCACCAGGGGGCTTCTTTCCATCCCATTGGCAACAGGTGGCTCTGCCCCACCTCCTCCCAGTTGTTCTGCCCATAAATGAGGGATCTGCCCAGCCCGCCTGGGTCCAGAGCCCCTCTGCTCCCTGTGGGGCACTCGTGGTAGGAGATGGGTTGCGGGGCCAGCAGGAAGGTGGTCCCAGAGCCGCTCTCTCTGGCCTGGGTCAAGCACCAAGGCCAATGCCAAGGCAGCACTGCTAGTGCGGGGCCCTGGCCGGAGGAGACTGCGGCGCAGGCAGCTCAGAGGATGCAGGTGGCTCTCTTCCGGGCCAAGTTCGACTCCCGAGTCCTTGCCAGGTAAAGAGCTTCAGGAAGCATGGAGGAGGGAGTGGCCTGGGCCTGGGTTCAGAAAGACAAACCAAAGTGCAAGGCTGCCTGCAAGGTCACAGCGGCTTGCCTAAACCCTAGCAACGTTTATTCTGTATTATAGTAACAGAATATAATTTAGGCCTTCAATTGCTCGAAATTCTTTCTTTGCCCCTTTCAGATGCACATCTTGTGCAGCCCAGGAATGTCTTTTTCAAAGACAGGAACTCCTCCCTTTCAATTTTCATCAAATATTGCCTTCTCCCTGTCTCTGTGGGAGGGTAGAAATCTAACTTCCGGAAGATTCAGCTAGGAAACGCTGAAGTCAACTGTATGGAAATCCCCCCACGACCACCTCCAGCACTTCCGCTCTGCCTCTCTCTAGTGTCTGAAGCATCACTTTATTTTAATTTCAACAGCGGTGTCTCTTTTCTCCTCCACTGCTGTCGTCTGGAATACAGGCTTCCGTGCACTTTTTAGTAGGTGTCCTGTGCAATTTCTCTTTACCAGCTCTAAGCAAGGAATGCGTGGATAGTCAAAGGAGAGTAAGTGCAGAGCAAGAGAAAGGGATTGCTGTTCTTGGAGGGACCTCCTAATCTCTCCTTCATAGGGGAAGGGGAGTTGCCCATCATCTACTGAGGCTGGGTCCAGCTAGATATACGGCTTGGAAGGGATCCTCAACAGAATTCTAGAAAGTGGGAGGGTAGCTAGTGGAACAGAAAGGGGCCTTTGAGCCAAAGAGACTTGAGATTCATTCCCACATGCTTTTATTTCTAGAGTTTAGGTTTTATGTGTGTTTTTATGGATTGTGCCAGTGAAAGGATTGGTTCATTTCAGTCAGGTTATTAAATATGGCAGTAGAAAATTGCTGATAATATTCCTTATCTGTTTTTGTTTTACTTTGTTTTGGATTTTTAAAATGATCTTTAAGTAGCTATATGTACAAAGGAGTTGTCATCTAACACAGCAGATTATTACTATCTTCATCAACATTCTCACCCATCTCTCCCCTACTCACCTCTTCCCTCACTCTTCTTAATTTTGTAGGCTTCATGACTGCATTTTCTCCATCTTCTTCATCTGTCCATCCTTTTCCCCTTGAGCCCACCCTACCCCTTTCAAATACCTGCTTCCTGGTGTTTTATTTTTACTGAATTTTATCTTTGCCTTTCTAAAGAGTTCCACTTGTTAGTATCCTGTTACTTCTGGAATGCCCCTTTCTTCTTCCTGTTTCTGCATCTGTATAATGGAAGTAGATGATAAAATCTAACTCATGTTCAGATAACTAAAGCAATGTGTTGAAATTGGGTCACACAAGCCCTCAGTTATTAGTGTAATTTTTATGTTTGTCTTCACAAAATACAAGTAAAACCCTGCTGGCCCAGAGTATGAAATGAGCAATGATTGCAAACTGGTTGTCTCAGGAGGTAAACTTATCTAAGATGGGCATGATGATGCACACCTGTAATACTGGCACTTGGAGACTGAGACAAAAAGGTCTCGAGTTTGAGGACAGAGTAGGCTATATAGTAAGACTTATCTCAAAAAAGAAAACAAAGTCCACAAAATAAAAGGAAAAAAGGAAAACCTAAATTCCTTAGAGTGTGCCATATTGGCCCAGGAAGTCACAGACTCCTCTTCCCCAATCAGTGTTTTGTAGGACACAGTCATGAGTCACCCAGTAGGCTTCTCAAGGATTTTCTAGTGTAGTCTGCTTACTTCTTCACAGTGCTGTGCCCAGAACCTAGAAAGTCATTTCCTGCTTTCCTAGAGAACTTCAAGTACAATAATGACAAAGGCCTTAAGTCTACCAGCTGCTAAACCTTGACAAGAACAAAGCAGATGATGTGGGAGAATTAGAATCTGAGTGGATTTCAAGTCTTGTTAAGACCAAATTGGCTAACTTGGTTTGGTTTTTATCTATTTATCCTTTTAACTCCTATGCTTGAGGTAGTTCCATGGGCGAGTGTGGAACCTTTGTTCTTCCAAGAGCTATATGGACATTTATAACATCATTTGAGGGCCATACAAAATGATATGTGTCTATCTCATCATGGAAAAAATGCTTTTGAGGGACTTAAACAACCATGAGCCTGACATTCATCTCAAAATTTTAAGAGTAACTCAATGTGTGTGTGTGTGTGTGTGTGTGTGTGTGTGTGTGTGTGTGTTTGACTAGGGTTTCATGTTTTAGTGTTCTACAGCCTGAGCGAAACTCCCAGCCTTCAACAGCTCATCTTTAACTGATGAGGAATTGAGTCCAAGAAGGTTAAGTGACTTGTTGAAGTTAAAGCACAGTTACGCCTTAGAAAACAGCTGGCTTTCTTTTCCATTATGATTTTATTATAGCCATACATCTCATAGGATTCTAAAGTTAAGCAGAATAGAAATGATAGAATTTAAATGTGACTACATTCACCTCTAGGAAGCTCATGACTATTATTTTTTTATCCAACAATATAATTTTTTCTGTTTCTATTTTGTTAATCCATATTCAAAAATTCCCTGCTCATAGCAGCTAGGGTTGAAGTGGTATTTCCAATTCACTCATTCTCAGAGATGATGTGAAATTATACCACCTACAAAACTAACTTGTTTCTCTGTGGAACGTGGGGATAAAAGAGAGGAGGAAGAAATGGGAAGATATTGTAAGGCATTCTCTCCTGTTTGATTCCATCCCACTTAATGTTTTGAAGATAGATATGATGATTCAGGAATGATATGTAGTATTCATCATTTATGCTTCCCGTTTATTGCCATGTTGTATTCCAGGTTATAGTGATAGGTGTTCAACATCCATGGATGGCAGAGACCCCTAAGCAAGACTACAGTTAGAGGAATTTGTTACAGAATGAGACTGCAGATTGTGAAGCAAAAAAATGGTGACTTGAAGCCTACTGTTTCCTCCAGTATCAACTTACCAGCATTTTCTTCAATTATTTGGTATACCGTGTCCTCCTGCCTCCCACTTAAGAGTATTGAGTAAATCTCCTTTGATTTGGGTAAAAGAAAATAGGTTCTCAAAAGGGTAGCTTGATTGATAGCTGAGGATTAATTCTATGAGCAGTTTGTGGGTAGTTTTGACAGCATAATGCTCAGTACTTGGCAAGTGCTTCCATCCCCTCAAATTTTGGTTATTCTGAAAAGCTATAAGATTTGAAATTCTTGTAATTATTTTCAAAGTCCTACTGAGAGTGTACGTGAATGAAAACCAGAGTTGGACAAGGAAGAGAGAAAGGATCTATTTAAGATTATTAAATTGTTATCTGGCTTGATAAGATAATTGGCCAGAAAATTAAATTCATAAAGTAGAAGAAAGTTGTTTTCTGTAAGCTGGTCCAGCAGAATGTTGTTTTTATGTACTAAGCACGAGAATATAAGGAGTGAGTAGGCAAAAGCAAAAATTACAGGATGAATAAGCTTTCTGCAGAAAGAAGTGAGGATGTTAAGAGCACATGAGTATTTGCATTTGAAGCTTTGGTACAGAGTATGTGTCATCCAAAGTTAACCTTCCCTCTGGACACTGCCCGGGCACATTTCATCCTTTGTCATCTTTCCTGGGAGAGATTTGAATAAAGTGTGAAGAATATTAAATTATGGTGTAAGACAATAAATCTTGGGCTGGGAAGGTGGCTCAGTGGTAAAGTGCTTGCCTTGCATGCATGAGGCCCTGGGTTCAATTCCTCAGCACCACATAAGCAGAAAAAAAAAGCCAGAAGTGGCACTGTGGCTCAAGTGGTAGAGTGCTATCCTTGAGCTGAAGAGCTGAGGGACAGCACCCAGGCCCAGAGTTTAGGCCCCATGACCAGACCCCCCCAAAGAAAATAAATATGGGTTCTAATCCTGACTGGAGTGTAAGTAACAAATGAATTAATCTGCTCTTAAATTTTCTCCATCTGCACAAAAAAAAAGAGATAGGGTTGAATCCTACTTTAATATTGTTTCCAGATGTGAAAGAAGAATTTTAAGTCTTCCTTTTTCTCAACATTTCTTTAATAAAGGTAGAGGACTAAATTCCATAGGATTCTTAAATTTAAGTAAAGGTTTATACAGAAGATCTAACCTTACGAACATTAGCCTTTGAAATCTGAGCTGACTACCTGGTCTTTCTGTGAGATATTACTTCCTGAGGTATTATTGATGTATATATCCTGCTAGAATTCTCTCTACTGCTTAGAAATTGCAAATGCAAGAGGGTAGAAGGCAGGAGGCAGTGCAAACTGGCTGCCTGGTGGCCATATCTACTTCCACCAGGCTGGGAGTAATAATCATACAGTCACGTTTACTGTTTCTGTACTAAGGACTGCTGTGGATAAGTGTGCCAGGAGTGGGCTCACAGTCAGGTACTCCCAAGAGACAAATGAGTCACATCCTGTCTCCTGATCTAATGTATGCATGGGCTGATCCTCCCCTGTCCCAACGTTATAAACAGATGAAGCTTCTTTCTTAGTCTTTATATGTGGTATGCTTGAGGAATGATTAAAAAACGCATTTGGGGGAAGGAAAGAAAGAACACTGATGGAGATCCTAAACTTCTTAAGAAATTTTTGGCAAAACACAATGGAAAGAATTAGAAATTCAATCTCTAGCTATAGTATGGGAGACCTAGGGAAAGACTCTTTTTAAAAATTTTTGTGCAGGTACCACAGTCCCACTTCCAGCTTTTTGGTGGTTAATTGGAAATAACAAAGTCTCATGGACTTTCTTGCCCTGGCTGGCTTTGAACCATAATCCTCAAATCTCAGTCTCCTGAGTAATCTAGGATTACAGGCATGAGTTACAGGTACCTAGCCATTTATTTATTTAGTTAGTTGTCGCTTTAAGTTTCTTATCTGAAAAAAATGTTATTATACCACTATCACTTTTTTAAGTACAATTATTGACATGTGATGAAGGGTAGTTATTGTTAAGACTATCTTTCTATCAACCACTTCCATTTCAACAGAGAATCTGGAGTGGCTTTGAAAAGCAAAAGCAATACTTAGCAAGGGTACCTGGTGGGGGAAAATATGAAGAAAGAAATGATGATATAAAGTAAAAACTTCAATAATTTTGAGTCCCATCTCTTCAGAGTAAGGGCTTTCGTTTTCTTCCCACAGATATGACATCAAGGCTCTCATCGGGACAGGCAGATTCAGCAAGATTGTCAGGGTGGAGCAGAAGACTACCAAGAAACCTTTTGCAATCAAAGTGATGGAAACCAGGGAGAGAGAAGGCCGAGAAGCATGTGAAGCTGAGCTGAGCGTCCTGAGACGGGTGAACCACCATTACATTGTGCAGCTCATGGAGATTTTTGAGGTCCAGGACCGAGTCTACATGGTGATGGAGCTGGCTACGGGAGGGGAGCTGTTTGATCGACTCCTTGCTCAGGGATCTTTCACAGAGCGGGATGCTGTCAGGATCCTTCAGATGGTGGCTGACGGGATTAGCTATTTGCACGGTTTGAGAATAACTCACAGGGACCTAAAACCTGAAAATCTCTTATATTATCATCCGGGTGCAGAGTCGAAAATTTTAATCACAGATTTTGGTTTGGCTCACTCTGGGAACAGCAAGGGTGACTGGATGATGGGGACACTCTGTGGGACCCCAGAGTACATAGCCCCTGAGGTTTTGTCTAGGAAACCTTATACTAGTGCTGTGGACATGTGGGCTTTGGGTGTTATCACCTTTGTTTTACTTAGTGGATCCCTGCCTTTTGATGATGAAAGCCATTCAAAGCTTTACAGGAAGATTCTTAAAGGCAAATATCATTATATAGGAGAGGTAAGCCATCAGCAATTCAGTCTATGGTGTTGACCTAGAATAAGAGGCATGTGTGTGTTTTTCTTCCCAGCTATGTTACTGTGGACGTTTAGGACTGGATGATTTGGTATGGGATCCTGGACATCCTGTGCATTGCAGGATGGATACTTGCCAGCATCACTAGATTCCAAGAATATCCAAATGTCTCCTTGTCAAATGTGCTTGTTGGGCAAAATTGGCCCTTGCAAAGAGTCTTTAGTCCTCAGGGGTGTTGATTACTGAGCTGCCTGTGGTTAGCACTTGACAGTGATAATCTTGTAGATAAGTGGGTTTGGATGCAACTTTTTCCTTTAGTATGCAGAACTGGAGTGGGCTGAGGAATGTATACTCAGAAGCTCTGCATGATGCTTGGGTGTTTGGCAACAGATTTTTCTGCCTTAACTCTAGAAGTCTCCAGCCCTTTCTGTGACGTAGTGTTTTCTCAGTAAAATATTTAACCTCACAGCTTGTGTGAAGTATTTATCCAGTATTTAAGCTTGGAACTCCCAAGGGTTTGTGAACCTGTTAACTCTTTGTTGTTTTCAGTAGAGAAGGAACATCACCAATGCTTGTGTGGGGGAAGCCCAACCAAATAGGAAAATCTTTTCATGTGAATTTTATTTTGCTTTCGACTTCTCATAAAGAAAAAAAAATACCAGCAATTGACAATACCTATTTAAAATTAAAATGTCACATCTAAAATCAAATACAAACTTGAAAATTTTCCATACTCTGACAGAACTTTAGTATGCTTATATTCTCTCAACTCTCTTCCCCCTTATTTGTTAGTGCTTATCATAATAATCTTTTATTTTAATATTTCCCAATATCTTATTTATCATAGGCTTCTAGAACAGAATAATATGGACTGGGTAGCATACCAATAAAAATGTATTTCTCACAGATTCAGAGGCTGGGAAGCTTATCATCAAGGTGTTGGTAAGGTATATTTCATTCTTATAGTCTCATAGCTTATAGATGGCTTCCATGGTGCTGTGTGCTCTCCTGACCTCTTCTTTGTGCAGAGAGAGAGAGAGAGAGGTGCTTTCTTCTGTTGCTTCCTATAAAGACACTAATCTTAGCAAACTAGAGCCTCATATTTAATTTAGTTATTAAATTAGCTGCTTAATTACTTCCTAATAAGCCTGCCATGATTTGAATGTGGCTCTCCAGCTGCTGGTTCTATTTTTGGAGGAAACTTTGGGTGGGCGTACCTGGGAGTGTGTCTTTGGGCTTGTATCTTGTCCTGGGCACTTCTTTGCCCATCTCTTTGCTTCTTGTCTTCCGTAAAGTGAACACACTTATCCTCCACACACTCTTGCTACCATGATACTCTGCCCAAAAGCATGAAGTCGGCCAAGACCGAATCTTCTGAAACCACAAAACAAAATAAATCTTATCTCTCTTAAGTAATTGGCTCTGTCAGATATTTTGTCATAGTGATGAGAAAAGTAACATAATGTCATCACACTGGAGGGTTGAGTTTCAACATATAATTTTTTTTGGAGAGACAAGAAGCATTCAGTCCATAACATAGTAGATTGAGAGACTCAGAAAAGTATATAACATAGTGTTTTTTTGTCATCATAATTTTGTTAAATTAGCCCTTATTGGCCAGCTTAGTTTTTTTCTAAATGTAATATTTATTTAAGAATTGGGATGACCATTAATACTGAAAACAGAATCAGCAGATAGAATAATAGTTCACCAAAGATGTCCAAACCCTACTCAAGAACTGTGACAGTTACCCTTCAAAGCACAAGGGAATATGTAGGTATGATTAAGGATCTTGAGATGTGGAGATTAACTGGAATTGTCTAAATGAGTCTAGCCAGTATAATCTCACCCTTGTGGTCTTCATGGTAGAGAGACAAGAGACATAAGGCCAGAGAGAGAAGGAGACTGTGGAAACAGGTTAGAGTCATATGCTTTGAAGATGGAGGAGGGTTATTATCCAAGAATTAAAGGCAGCCTCCAGAAGCTGGGGGAGGTAAGGAGCCTTGCACCTCTCCTACTGTTTACAGAAGGATTATGGTTCTGCTGATAGCTTAGGTTTTAGTCTCTATGACTCATTTTGGACTTTAGATCTGTGGAACTGTACAGTAACAAATATTCATTTTAAAATATTATTTTTTAACTGTGCAGTACATGCCCGCAGTCTCAGCACTTAGGAACGAACTTGAATTTGAGGCCAGTCTAGGGCTCATAGCAGAACCTTGTATTAAAAGAAATATTGAGTCGATTAAATAAATAGATGCCTAAAAATCATTTCAGTTGTAACTGAAGTTTTATGTATAGCACTTTATGTGAATCATATCTTTCTCTAGAATTCTAATGGTAATGTGAAGTACGTAGGCTAAGAGCATTCAGAAAGAAGCTGTATGCTGGATATCTTATGGTGAAGAGGAGTGATATGTTTAATATAAGTAGGGATTATTTTCCTAGGTAGCTATCAGATCCATGCTGTAACACCACCCATTCTTAAGTAAAAAGTTAGCTATATTATAAGCATTTCAACTCTTGGGTTTTGGTATACACAAAGGTATATATATATATATATATATATATATATATATACATAGGTATGTATATATATGTATATACATATATATATATATACCTTTCTATAAAAGTATCAATCTTTTGTAATTTTTGTGCCATTCTTTCCCTTTTTTGAATAATTGTTTAAGATTAGGTTTACTTTCATTTGTTTTGGCATTCATTCTTGTTGCTGTATGTCATGATAAAGCAACAAATTCCTTAGAAGTTGAGCTCCACCTCATCTCTAATAAGATTAAAGAGATAAAGATAGAAAATGAGTTTAATAAAAATTATTTTTAAACAAGTATTAAAGCTTCAGATTTATATTAGTATATGGATAAGTGTATCGACTAAGGTAACTAGTCCAGACTAGTTTATAGTTCAGGAGACTATAAGGTAATTGATATCTTTAGTTGCTGAATTTATTAGAATCCTGGCATAGGAAGGGGCTGGGAAGGTAACATTTGTTTTAATCACTGTTTTCCTCAGATAGGGGTTGGAAGCTCCCCTTTTATATTGCTTCTTCCTCAAGGTGCAACCAGAATAGAAAGATGAGGCAGCAGGTAGCTGGAGAGGGATTGCATAGGGCAAAGACTTTCTCCTCACTTTGTGAAAGAGATGGATCATGATGCGTGAGTAGCAGAGCATGTTCTGGTAATGTGTAAGGAACGGACTCATCCAAGTAGCTCTCTTCTCTAACTATAATTACTTTCTACAAGTAGAACAAAAAGCTAAAAGCGCATAGGAGCAATGGAAGAGTACTAATTACCATGTAGGAGGCGTAGGTCAGATTCCAAGCTGAAGGTAATATTATGCTATCTTGGTTGAAAGGTAGAAGTTTCTTAAAGGGAAGAGATCCACACATTCCAATATACAGAACAATATATGCATAATTACAAAAAGAAATATGATCATAATAAAAAAAGAAATCTGTTGACCAGTGAAGTGAAAGAACTTCCAGGCTTCTGTGCAGCATACACACATAGACATGCCTGTGTGTTTATATGACCATATATAGTGTACTATAAGAGTAACCCAATCTGGAACCATTTAGTAGATCTGCTGTATACTCTCTGCAAAAGTTTGATTATGATTTGACTTCTTTATTTTTGTGCTGGAAAAATGGTAAGAATGATTGTATCTACCTACACAGGGTAATTGTAAAGAACAAAAGCATTAATAAATTAAAGTGCTTAACATAGTTCCTTATATTGGCCCATGTATAAATTATGTACGTTGTAATTACTATTAACATGGGAAACTCTGGTTGAAAGTTTGATATTGGTTGTTTGTTTTATGTTTTGGTTATTTGTTTTATGAAGGTTTGGTAAAAACTTAGTTTTCAAGTTTACCATGTTATTATTTCTTTATTTTTGTTGGTTGTGGGGCTTGAACTCAGAGCTTGGGCTCTGTCCTTGAGCCTCTTTGTGCTCAAGGCTAACTCTCTATCACTTGAGCTACAGTACCACTTCCAGTTTTTGAGTGGTTAATTGGAGATAAGAGTTTCACGGGGACTTTTCTGCCTCTGCTAGCTTCAATCCTCGATCCTCAGATCTCCGTCTTCTGAGTAGCTAGGATTATAAGTGTGAGCCACCATCACCTGACATACTATATCATCTTTTACATGGAATATCATGAAAATATTTTCTTACTAGAGTTTTAATATAAATGATTTTGCAAGCACGCTTGCTAATGAGTTAGATATCTCATACTATTATCTAATTATATTCCACTGTATTGTAGTAATTCTGCTAGTATGAAGTAAATTGGTAATAAAATAAGTCATAACTATATTTGCCAGATACTAGGATAAACACTGATATTAAAAACATACATAGCCTGGAGCCAGTGGCTCATGCCTTTAAACCTAGCCATTCAGGAGGCTGAGATCTGAGGATCATGGTTCAAAGCCAGCCTGGGCAGGGAAGTCCTTGAGACTCATTTCCTTAATCATAGAAAAAGCTGGAAGTGACACCATGGCTCAAGTGGTAGAGCAGTAGTCTTAAGCAAAAGGAGCTCAAGTGAAGCACGCAAGTCCAGAGTTGGACCCCAACCAGTACCAGAAAAAGACAAAACCAAAAAGCAAAGCCATAAAACAAAAGACATATAATTTCAGGTCTGATGGCTCATATCTATAATTGCAGAATTCAGGGGCTGAGTTAGGAGGATTGAAAGTAAGTTTAAGGGCAGTTTGGGCAACATAGTATAGGACCCTGCCTCAAACAAAGCAAAACAAAATAAGAAAACCAAAAAGCAAATATCCTCATATACATTGGGATATATATGGATAGTCATATGGACCTTGATAGAAAAATGGCCCCATTTGCTTAAATTCACTTATGTTTAAAAAATTCTTTTATTTTTTGTTGGGGGATTTAATTTTTTGAGTTCCAAGTATATTTTAGATATGAGATCCTTTTCCATTGTATGGCTAGTGAAGA